CTGAAAATGTGAATAGTGTTTATGGTCCTGATACTGTAACAGCCAATCACGCGCAATTTTGGTTTCGTCGATTCCGTTCCGGTAATTTTGATGTCAAAGATGCACCACGCTCTGGAAGGCCAATTGTCGAAAATGTCGATAAAATAATGGAAATCGTCGAGTCCGATCGTCATGTAAGCATTGTTTCGATTGCCCAGGAGCTAAACATTGCACAAAAAACTGTTTGGAACCACTTAAATAAGGCTGGATACAAAAAGAAGCTCGATGTATAGATGCCACACGAGTTAACGCAAAAAAACCTCATGGACCGAATTTCCATCTGCGAATCGCTGCTGAATCGCAACAAAATCGACCCATTTCTGCAGCGGATGGTGACTGGTGATGAAAAGTTGGTCACTTACGACAACGTCAAGCGAGAACGGTCGTGGTCGAAACGCGGTGAGCCGGCGCAAACGGTGGCCAAGCCAGGATTGACGGTCAGGAAGGCTTTGCTGTGTGTTTGGTGGGATGGGCAGGGAATCATCCACTATGAGCTGCTCCCCTACAGCCAAACTCTTAATTCGGACCTGTACTGTCAACAATTGGACCGTCTGAAATAATCAATCGTCCAAAAGCGGCCAGCTTTGGCCAATAGGAGAGGAATTGTATTCCATCAGGACAACGCCAGGCCACACACATCGATAGTGACTCGCCAGAAGCTCCGGGAGCTTGGTTGGGAGGTTCTTACGCATCCACCTTATAGTCCGGACCTGGCACCAAGTGATTACCACCTGTTCCTGTCTATGGCAAATGATTTTGCTGGTGAAAAATTCGCCTCAAGAGAAGCTTGTGAAAATCGACTGTCCCAGTTTTTTGCCAAGAGGGACAAGGATTTTTATGAGAGAGGCATAATGGAATTACCTTCAAAATGGCAACAAGTTATCGAACAAAACGATGCATATTTGACCTAAATCGGATCATTCTAACTATGCTAAATAAAGCCTTCAATTTCATGCAAAAATAATGGATTTCTTTTTACTACACCTTATATATATATATATATATATATATATATATATATATATATATATCCTACTGAAGAAATCAAGCTAATATCTCAATTGAGAACTCAATTTAAATCTCACGTGAGATCGTAACTGAGAACTCGTATTAGATTTCAGCAAAATTTCGCATGTAAGATCTCAATTTGAAAAGTATTCACAATTGATCCAATTTCACTCAAATTTCATTACAATTTCATTAATATTTCAGCAATATATTAGTATGAATTTAGAAAAATTTAGTGCAAAATCATTATTAATCAAAATAGATTGAGGAAAGTATAATGAAATATTATTTTATCTAAATAATACAATAAGAAAAAATACTCATTTATTCGTGAGACTCGCGTGGTTCCGATTCCATATGAGATGGCCACTATCTTTAGCTGACCATGCTATTTCGATGTTTATTGATACAATGTTATATAAGTAATCAAAGTTTAGAGTAAAGGCACCAAAAGCGACATACCACTTTGTTTTTGAAGGTTATGTCTTAATGTAAAGCTCAAAATATATATGTAAATATATGTACATATAGTTGGAAGTACCCTCTATCAGATAATATCACATTTTTACTGAAATTGTTTCTAAATTTAAAACAAAAAAATGTTTTTGTAAAACGCACGAAATTAGAGTTCAAAGAAAATGGGTGCCAAAAGCGACATACCTATTGGACATATAACATGTTATATAACATGTTGCTTATATGATAATATTTGATAATAAATAGTTCGTTAATGCGTTTAATGGTTGAATAATATTCATTTTATTTAAAAGCAATATTTATGTTAGTATTCACTAATGTATATAATTACAAATAATTATTGAAAATGATTTACATTTACATTATTGCAGCAGAGTAAGTTCATATACAACACATGTCACTTTACAATGTGAGGTTAGAATCAGGTTATGTTAGTCACAGACTATCGTAGCTACCGCATACTATAGGTATGTCACTTTAAAACTCATTCTCATAAAATTTTTAAAGTTATACAATAGAAAAGTGATAAAGATTAAAATATTCAAAAAATATTTTTACAAAAACTAAATGCATCTAGAAGAACTTAATGTTGAACAAAAAGATAATTATCGATGTTTAGTCTACGTAATTTGCCAATAAAAATCAGAAATAAAACTTGCGAATTTCTAAAACTCAATATTTGCTAATTTAGCCCATAAAAGAACAAGAAGTATATCAAGTATGACTTTTTCATGACTTTACTGATAAAACGAATTATGTTTATAATAGTTTCGGTAAAATACAATATTTCATATATGAGATATAGAGGTGTGTCGCTTTAGGAAGCCTATGTCGCTTTTGACTACTTTCCTCTAACCTACAACCTGCTCGTAAAAAGGGAGAGTATTCCTTCTTTCTCTCTCGCAATATTTTGACAAAGTAAGGTTATGGCTAGACTCTTTTTATAATTATATTAATCGTATTGTGATTGTTGTTAGGTCTTTTGAAACATTTACCAACAAATATGTCACTACATTTTTGAACGATATAAGAGTATATTGTAATCACCAAGTTATCGTTACAGTGCAGTGGCATCATCAGTCCCTGTACGATCGTTGAAATTAGTCATCGGAACAGTATGGTCAGCTAAAGGTGTGGTCGTCTCTCGGGATCGAAACCACGCCGCATCTCACGAATAAATGTTTTTTTTTTATTATTTAGACAAAATAATATTTCATTATACATTCCTCAATCTATTTTGATTAATAATGATTTTGCACTGAATTTTTCTAAATTTGTACTAAAATACCTGGGAAAAAATGTCTCATATATATATGATTATATATAATTATATATGGACATATTTTATATATAATTATATATAACGCTTTATATATGATATGATATTATAATGAGACATTCTTTCTCGGGCAATGATATCACTTTGATACTATGCGATATTTTCAGGGTTCGTGCAATTTTAATAGAATCCACATCACATCGATGATCGGATCCATGTGATTCCGACTACCGTTTTTAAGTGGATATCCGCTCGAATATCCACATGGACGTCCTCTCGCTCATCCACGTGGCATTCACCTGGATTTTACGTTTTTGTCGGACGTGGACATACATGGGTCTTTCGAATTTTGGTTCTTTTATTATACCTTTAAATTATTTCGAAAAATCTATAAAAATTGACGGATATACTTTGCATTGCGCAAAAAATTAAAATATAGTATATTAATATTAACAAAGTTTGATAAATGATTAGGTAAATAAGTGCTTTGAGTTAGAAATTAGTACTTTTTATCAGGAATAAATAGAAGAAAACGGCTTTAAGATTTTATAGTTTAAGAACGAAACTTCGAAAAGAAAAAATATAAGAAAGCAAACTTCTGCAAAAAAGTATAATTATTTGGACATATGAAAATGAACAATTTCAAGGAGTAAATGAGAAAAAATCGGATATTGGAAGAAAATACACATTCGGTTTTCGTATTTTAGTCCGAAAATGATATATTTTGTACAAGGCCCGTGTCCTTGTTTGATTGTAAAAAAAAAAACAGTAAATACAAGCACACAGAATATACTATCCATAAACATATTAGGTGGTACAGTCTGTACATATATAATTCCAATTGTCTTTGCACACCAGATTTCCGCAGAACACCCAACCATACCACGTTTTCCTGTCAGTGCTCGTATCGCAGAAGTAACATCTTTTGCGTTTTCCTAGTTTTCCTAATACAGTATGTTTGATAAGAGCGTGTACGGCAAAACTCAAAAACTTAGGATAATACATAAACTGAAAAAATTTGTACACATTATGCATGATATAGACTGCAATGCTTTATTATTAATAAGTTGTCCAGTCGCCTCCATTATCAATAATTGACTGGCATCTCCGAGACATATTTTCTACTAATTTTACAGCATAATCTTCAGACAAAGATCTCCATATAAATCGAATCTGTCGAATTAACTGCTTGACGGTCCATATTTTCTTTCCTCGGAGCTTAAACTTTATAAGCGCCCAAACATTTTCAATTGGATTTGCATCTGGCGACTGTGAAGGCCAATCCAGTACGTCAACGTCATTTTCTTGTTTCCACGCAGTACAAAGTCTACTCCGATGTTTCGGATCATTGTCCTCTTGCAGTAGCCAATTTTCATTTTTCCTCGTAAACCACCTTTGGGCAGATGGTAATAAAGCTCTCTCATATATTTGGACCATTTTAGCAGCATCCAAATTTTGTGTAAAGATGTGTAAAGTGCCAAATCCCTGTTTTGAGAAACAGCCCCAGACGTGCACCTTTACCGGATGTTTAACGGTCCGCTCGATGAGTCTATTGGCCTGGGTAGACCAGACACGTCTGATAGAAGACTTTGCCCAAAACGAAGCTTCATCTGAAAAAATTACGTTGCCCCAATAGCGGTCCAAATTTTCTTTTGCCCAAGCAAGTCTTTTTTCGACGTGTTTTTCAGACAGCAACGGTTTCGTTATCGTGCTTCGAAATTTCACTTTATGAGCCAGTAAACGTCTTCTTATAGTATGACATGATATATTTAGACCCTTTTTAAGTAAAACCGCTTGCCCGCCACGCAATGATAAACAAGGATTCTTCTCAAACACCCGTAAAATCATTTCCTCCTTTTTCGTCGTTTTCTGCACAGAGACACGATCCGGCAAGTCATCAACGTTTTTGACCTCGGAATAACGTTTCACCCACTTACTCACGCCTTAGACTTCTTCATATACTTAGCAGCCGCTCCGCGCGACATTTTTGGTCCTTTCGGATGCGAACATAGAAACACAGCTTCGTAACGTGATGCGTACGCGGCACTCATGTTGAAATACACCCTTTTGTGACGAAAGTCAAACGATAACTAAGGCTTTCTAGACAAAGCATCTTGGGAGAAGAGCCCCGCTATTGGCTCGCGTTCATATCCCCCCTCTAACGGTTTCGAGGAAAAAGTTTTGCCGTACACGCTCTTATCAAACATACTGTATCTCTGGTTTTGGCTATTCAATCTACAGTATTGCGCATATTGACAAGCACAGCCCTTTCCGTAATGTTTCTTTCTACAGTGCCTGTGGTGCATATGCGGTGCTATCAAAGACATTATTAGGCTGTCCATAAATTCCTGTTTTTTCATCATTGTATTGTCCTTATGTAAATTATACGGAATATTACTGTTGATTCCTTGATCGAAATAAATAATAATAATTCAATATCGTCTTTGTTTCGGGTTCGATTTGCCGGTGAGCAAGCCGACAGTGCACCGGTTTCGCTCAGTGAAAGACACGGTGAGCGGAAGGAGTAGGATTTAATAAGTGACGAGAAGTAAATTCACATTTATTTTGCAGACTGGCGCTAATCGACTTTAACGCCAATCGTGAAACGAAAAACAACGATTTTACAATAAAAGATTCGGCAGCGATCTCACGATGATTCTCCTGACACGCAACACGGAGATTTTTTTTGCGCTTGAGGCTGAGTCAACCTTTCGCGACGGAAATCTTGACGAGCGTTAGGTGGACGCTCTTCGCGCGGAAATTTTGCTCGCGAAGCGAAGGAAATCTTCCGCGACCCTGGCGTTCGCGAGAACCGTTGTGATCGCGTACTCGCTGCTGCCAAACGCATGCACATAATACAGTATAAATTACAAAAAATGCAGAAAACAAGTTAGAAAGAAACTGCGCACCGTGATTCTCGGTGAGATTACGCCGTGCCGAACGCGCCTAAAGCAAACTTTGACGGATACGAATGTATCGGATGATCGAGACTTTTGACTACGCTGCAAAGACGATATTTCCAGAGCGGCGCGCACACGGAGCGACGTGTCGCGAATCTCGCCCGATGATAGCCGGCCGAGGAAAGAGAGTGAGAATTCGAAAGAAGTAAGCAAGAAGCTTTATCTATGGAGAAGAGAGTGTCGTAAGCGTGGAGTGTCAGGTAGTTTAAAGCTCAGTAGTTTAGAGCAGTCGTCTGGCAAACGAAAGACCTGGGTTTGAGTCTCGGCCTAGCAAAATCATGCTCTCGATATTTTTCTTTTTCGAAAAAATACGCAGATCTTGAACGCACGGCGTCCTGCCGCCACTTAGTACGTCCTCCTCCTTCTATGGGAATGTACCGTGCTATCAAGACGTTTAGTAAATGCGAGACTCGAGAGCGAAGCGAACTCGGAATGAGTCTCCGCTCTCACCTTATGATAGCCGGCTTGAGAGCAAGAGTAAGATTTCCGGATTATCGATGCCTCGTTGAAATAATCACCGCTGAAGCCGTCGGAGCAGACTGCCGTCGCCGACGATGAAATCTGCCTCTAATGGCTCGCTCGGTTAGCAACAGCTCACTCGCTGGTTGGTCGCGATCGCGGGTGTCATCGTCTCGCACACAAAATTACCTTATTTGGTAAAGCGTCCGATGATTCTTCATGCATACTGCCTGCCGATTCGCGGAAGCGTGTTTTGCCACTTGGTTGCCATAGCAATCACGACTCGCGAGTGAAAGCTATGAGGAAAAAAGAATGCGCGCTCAGCGCGAGACCGTCGCGACGGCGAAGATTGCAACCGCCACGCGCGAGCCGCTCGGAGCAAGAAAGTTCTAGAAAGAGAATCAGATTGTTCGAGATCCTTAATAGAATTCTGAACAGTTTTCTTCATACAATACGCGATGTAACGCTGCAACTCGCTTTTCTATTGTTTTCTAAAATCAACGAATTTCATTTGAAATACATATTACAACATACATACATATATAACTAACTATAACACTCACTAACTAAATAATACTAACTAACAAAATAACTAACTAAAGAATTTTTTTTTAAATACATTTCCGGGAAGAAATGTATGATTATTACAATCTCAAGCTATTGTTTAAATAAGTAATACTGCTGACATACGTTATCTGAACGTGTGTGTTAGTTTAGATCATTATCTAAACGTTTAGATCATTATCTAAACGTCAATACTAGTATGTCCGCTGACTGACATTATGTTTTTATATTGTTAGGTCTTGAGGTTTGTTTCTCTTTAGCCGTTTCATATTCCTCTCCGTATCTAATAATCGTATAGCTCAACATTAGTATGTTGATGCAATCTCGCCTCATGTGATCTTGTAAACTCCCCAATCACCTCCACAACTGTTTGGAGATTTAAGTCCGCATATAAGTCTTCAGTACTTTAGTATCATCCAGCATCACTAATCATGCGTATGATCTTATTTTGGACGCGCTTAATTAACAATCGGTTCGAGTTCTTTGTCCATAATTGGATCCCGTATAGGTTTAATGACCATGAGGTAAATTATTCTTTTATGATAAAGATCCAGTTGTGATTTGTACCCAATTAATTTGTCGGATTTTAAGGCGGATTTGTTCCGCTTTTCTACGTAGGTGATATTTCCACGTTAGTCTTGTATCAAGGTGCACATCCAAATACTTTGCAGAGTTTTCTTACGATATTGGTTGATTATCAATGTGTACACAGTATTCCGGATCCACACGATGCAGTGCAAATATTATCTAAGTCGATTTGAGTTTATTGAGTTTGATTTTCCAGTATTATGTCCACTGTAGGACACTATCTAGAGCTTTTTGGAGATTCTTTGTAGCTTTAACTTGCGATTTGTTGACGGCCATTATTGCTGTATCATGTGCGAAAATGCTTATTATTATATTGCTATCTGTTGGTACGTCTGCTGTATATGTCAAATACAGAATAAGCCCTAGGACACTACCTTGTGGAATTTCTGCCTGCATAGGATAGAAGACAGATTTAGTTTCTTGGTATATCACTCTAAAGTTTCGCTTTGTGAGATATGATTCCAGTAGCCTGCAAATATTTCCTGGCAGTAGTTTACTCATCTTTAAAATGAGCCCCTTATGCCACTTATACTTTGTCGAATGCTTGCGCGATGTCCAGAAATACTGCAATGCCGTATTTCTTTTCTTCAAATAAATTTTTAATTGTAGAGGTAACTTTATGTATTTGATCAATGATTGAGTGTTAACTACGAAAACCAAATTGGTGAACAGATATTGGTAATAAAGATTTAAGCTGTTTGTACAGTAATTTTTCGAACAATTTTGATATCACTGGAAGTAGTAATATTGATCTGTATGATTTTACTTCTTCAGTCAGTTTATCTAGTTTATTAATCATAATTATCTGCGCTAGCTTAAAGAAATCCGGCTTAAAGAAATCATGTTTCAGTTGAAGATAGGCGTTGAAAATGTACATGATGAGCATAATTGCCTTTTGTGATAGTTCTTTAAGCACTCTGGATGATATTTGATTTATTCCTGGCACTTTTTTCGAATTTATATTTTTATCTATTTCTTGTGCAATCTTAAAAGTTATATAGGGTAGATGCACCGTTTGTGGCCACTGCTCCTGTTTTGGCCATGTTCGTCATTTATTATGTTTTTCTAGTATAAGGTTGGCTGCAGTGCGTGTCAATCGCGACATATGCATGTTGCAACTATATTTCTTGGTTATATAATGCGATAAGTCACCTCACATTTCTTTTTCACATTTTAAAATAAATATTTTGTATACAGTATATCTAAGACATAGTTTTCTTATAACAAAGGATAAGAATTCTCAAAACGCAGTAAGTAGAATTTAGTACATTTTTTAATAAAAACTTAACGGTATATATTCATGTGCATGAAAAATGAAACGTATACAGTTGTTTTTTTTTTTATGAATTCTGATAATGATATCTTATAAAATTAACTTGCTTTTTAAAAGTAAACAAGCTGTCCAGAAATGTAGCATGTTTTTTTTGTATTTTCTATTTGTGGCTATAGGATGGCCAGAATTGGGGTTATACCTGAACTAATTGTGGCCACTTAATATAAAAAGAAAATTAATCTTAAAAATACTGACTAATCTTTGAAAAATTATGCAACTTATGAAATTGTTTTAAATATTGCATATTATTTTATTATTATATTTTTAGATTAAAATGCCAAAAAGAAATTCGGATAAATCTGTTAAAGGAAAACAGAAGTTGTCTACAACATCCAAGAAAAATCAACAGCAGAAGAGAAAATTATTTTTGTATTCACCAACGAAAATACGACAAGCTTTAGTTGTTATTCAGAATGGTACACCAGTCTCGACAGTAAGTAAAATTTATCAAGTACCAAGAACAACTTTGCGACACAAAATTCGAGGTGAAGCACCAGTAACCACTGGACGTGTAGGTCGTGAATCAATATTAGGTTCTCATCTCAATAGAAGCTATTTTAGTAGATTGGTTGTTGGAAACATGTCGAATGGGATTCCCTATCATAAAAGATGTTTTGTTGAATTCAGTCAAAAAATTCATTGAAACTGAACATTTAAAAACTCCATTTACAAATAACACGCCAGGACGTAAATGGTTTGAAAATTTTATAAAACGACACCCTATCTTATCTATGAAGAAAGCTGAATACTTAGGTAAGACGAGAGCAGTTGTAACTAAACAATATATTCGCACTTGCTTTTCTGAAATACAAAGTTTACTAAAAGATAATTTAGAAGTTCTTGAAGAACCGCAAAAAGTATTCAACATGAATGAGACAGCAATATGTTTAGCTCCTAAAGGAGGATTAGTTATTGCAGAGAAGGGCAAACCAACATATGATGTTTTTACTAGCAGTGATAAAGAAAATATTACTACGCTCTTTACTGTGAATGCTGCAGGAGAAATTGCACCATCTCTAACAGTTTTTAAGTATGAACGCTTACCTCAAGCTTGTTTGTTATAAATTATTATATCAGAATAAGTGTTAAGTGTTTTTTGTTTAATTAACATTGAAATATGTGAAAGTTTACATTTTGTTATTTACTAACCTTTTTATTTTGAACAAAAGTTTGTTATAATGGTAAATTTTCTACATGGCCAAAAATAGCACTCTACATGGCTATAATAGGTACACATGTGGCCAAAAATGGTGTAATACGGAATTTTTGCAATTATTTAACTTTTTCATTATTTATTTGCTTATTTTCCTAAAATTTATTTAAATATTAGAAATTAAGATATTAAATAATATATTTAAGTGAATAGTTTCTTCTTTTTATACATTGTTAAAAAGAAAATCATTTCAAAAGTTACAAAAATGGTTAAGGTGGTCATAAACGGTACGTTCACCCTATTTGAGTAATAAGTCTTTTTTGTATACTTTAATCGTTTTAATGTTGGACTGTATGTCCTTGACTTAAAAAACTTTGTGCAAGTGTCGAGCAAAGTTCGGCTTTTCTTGACGATGTATCCACCTTTCCATCTCATTCTTGAGTGGTGGTATTCTGGTAATTAGATATTTTAGTTTCCGAGTTGCCTTCGACAAGGAATAATTTGTATCTGCATCTGCAGAAAGACTTTATAAATAGCTTTCGAAACTTTGCTTGTTGTTATCCTTAATTAATCTATTTAGTTGATTATTAATGCGATTAAATGTGTTTTTATCTTCTGGATATTTTGATCTCTGTTATATGCGTCTTGGTCTTCTTCTCTTTTTAATCATGTTTCTAATCTCATCAGGATAGCATATTTCTTGTATCATAATGTTACTTGAAGCTGGTGTTGAGATTCTCGCAGCTTTACATATGTTTTCTACTAAGTTTTACACTTGCTTGTTTAACTTCTTTATAGTTTTAAGCCTTACTTTTAGGTTTACTAATTAGTCTAATTCTTCTCTAAATTTGTCCCAGTATATTTCTTGATGAGCGTAACTCTCTTTTTTTATAAATGACCGTGGAGCTAAGAGTTAGTAGCACTCGTATGTGTTCTAAAGAGAGATCTTTTATATTTTCTATTTAACTTCGAAGTAATTTGTTGAAATACTTTTCATAATATAGAAATCAATAAGGTCAGGTATCCTGTCTGTATCCGCTGGCCAATGTGTTAGTTTCCTTGACTTCATACTTGCAAGCTTCGATGGCTTTCAGCAATTCCCTACCTTTAGAAGTAATTAAGCGGGATCCCCATGCCTTGTGCTTAGCATTGCAGTTTCCTCCAATCATAAAGCGCCATCCAAACTTTCTTATTTCTAAGTGGGCAGTATATTGTTGCTATTTTGAGGTTCGTATTATTATGCTGGACTGTGATTATAGTGGCTTATATATATTCCTTATGAATTTCTTTTTGTGAAGAATGTTTCACATTAGTGTCGACAACAATAGCTGTTCCAGCATAAACTTTATCACTATGGTGTGTTGTATGATATATCGTGAAGTCCGAAATCTTCTAGTAGCTTTTATTAATTAGTTGTGTTTCGTGTATCAATGCTATGTTTATATTTTTGTCTCTTAATAAAATTTCCAGCTCCATACTACGCAGAAGTCATTCGCGTTCCAGATGATAATTCCAAACGATGTGTCTGTCATTATTTTTCGTTGCGCTGACTATGATTTTTTATTTTTGCATATTTCTCTCTTCCAGTGCTTCTAGTTTACTTTTAGTGCTATTATACATATATTGTATTTTCTGGAGTAAATCCCATACGTCCTGAATCGTTGGTTCATTGATTTTGGCCTGTGTTACCATTTTCTCAATTGATATTGGCATGCATCTTGCACTAACTATTTTAGCAAAGAATTCAGAGGGCTTAACTTTTTTGACAGGTGTTCGAGTGTTTGATAGATACGTTGGGTTACAGTCATTTTTTTATTTTTGTTGGGATGCCAGCTTTTCTTTATATACTGGATATCTCTATCAGTTTCCCGTGCGTTTGTCATTGTAATTAGCACACTTACATTTTGTATTTTTTGACTTTCTACATTCCGTGGAGAGATGATTCGCTCCACATTTTACACATTTAGCTTTTCTCTGGCAGTAGTTCTGAGTATGCCCAAGACCTTGGCATCTTTTACACTGTGGTATTTATTTTTTTATTTTGGTAGTTTTATTTTGATATTGCAATATCATTTTGATATTGCATATACTTTAGTTCGTAAACATCTTTGTTGTTGGGCTTGGTAGCCAGGTCAACATAAAATAATGGCAGTGCTATTATTTCAGTTGGTATATTATCTCATTGATTTTCTTTTTAATGATAACATTCGTTACCCGAATAGTCCTCATGTCACAATCTTGTCAGCTCATTCTTTATCTCGGCTTTGTTGGTTGTTGGATATAACCCTTTAATTACTATTTTATATGGTTTTAGTTGTTTGCACTGGTATGTGTAGTAAGCAATTTCTTTCAAGGGATGACTTTCCTGTGATTTTACAGTTTTTAGTAACTTGATAATAGCACAATAATTTTCTACTTCGATTGCATTAACTTTTATTTCACCACTTGCATGTATTTTAAAATTTACATTGTGCTTAACCTTTTGCAAGATTATATTTTTAAGTAAATTGAAGTTGTCAACTTTGTTTATAAATATCGGCGGTGCTACACTCTTTTTCTCGTCCTTATTTTCGACTTTTTCCATTTCTTGTTGTGGCGACGTCTCCGGTGACAAGTTTCTTATTACTTTTCGTTTCTTATTACTCTTCCTTGATTCTCAAGTATTATTTACGGTTTCCCACTCCAGTTCTTCCTCATCCGTCTCAAATACTCTTTGCTTTGTCTATTCCTTGTTCTGTAACTTTCTTATTGTTGTTTTTAAATCATTGATTTTATTTTTCGCATGTCTCCACGCTTCCATGCTTCTTAAAAGCACTTCATTCCGTATTTGTGGTCTAAAGTCAGCTATCGTGTCATCGGAAGCACTGAAGTTCCCCTCACTATATTCTAGAAGATCAGGTAACAGCAATGTTTGATTCCTCCCTTCCAGAATCCTTAGGACCTGCTTCCATAGAGAGTGAATTTTCAATATCTGGTCTATTACCTGGCGTACAACTTCCGCTTGTTTTACTCATTGCATATTATTTTCCTGTGAGTCGCTTTTGGTTTTCTGTCCGGATTTTCCTTTCCTTTTTCTAGTTGGATTGCTCTCGTTTTTAGACGCCAGAATTTTGCCTTTTTCCTCTTATCTATTTGCTATGACCGAAATCACATTTCCTAGAATTCGCGACTTAGGACGTTAGATGATCAGACTTGCTGGTTTATTGATATTGTACAGCGCAGTATTTCACAGCTCTTTTAAAGTGTGTATTTTCCAACAAGATATGCACCACCGCGATCTTACTAACTTTCAGAATCCCTTATATGCAAGATATGTAAAGAATAATAACTAACTAAAAAAGTAATAACTAATCAAACAATTCAGATAGAATGCATGCAATGTAGAATGCAAATAGAATACTTACTATGAGTGTTTACAGATTTTCCACTTTTCATAAACAAGACACGTTGTGGCCCTACATGGGTCTTTCGAAGCCGGACAAAAACCGCAATGCTGGCCGCAGAGGAACTAACGGTTTTGAATGCCCCTTCGTGCACAAGTTTCTTCTACTTCTAACATTTTTTAGGAAGGAGCAGAAAATCTTTCAACGTGCTGAGAAATTTCTATAAATAGAAACCGTCCGGACTCGAAATACCCATGTAAGACGACTAAGGGTTAAATTGATATTACATCCGAAACTATATCAATACGGTTCTCACAACTACACTTGTTACGATGTGTAATATTCCGTTACTACATCCTTCATATATAGTTACTTCAACCATAAGTATGTTACTGCTTCTATTCTATAGTCTGCAGAACCAATACTAAGGTTGAAATGTCTGTACTGTAGGTTTATATACATTATGTAGTTCTATGATTCGTACACGACGTAGACAATAGAACGTGGTCACACAGGACGCGGTAAGACTAAGGCTGCGTTGAGATCGCTTTGGGCTCTCATGTGTTATAAACGTTATTCTATTTTATTTATGTGCGGAAGAGAAATAGCATTATGCTTACAGCGCACGAGTACCTAAAGTGAAACCTAATCTTTGGTGTACCGACAGATAGCGACAGCAACTAAGTAACGAAGAATGCCAGTGTTGTGTAATGTTCAATAACTTTCTTATAATAATATGGATTTTGAAGCTTTTCTGCAAAGTATCAGATTTGAATAATTTGTTCTCATATTTGTGACGATCCGGAAAGCGTCACGACAGCCGGAAAAAAATTACTAACAAGAGAACGCCGAACAACCGCGCGGAATAACCGCAAGGTCAACAAACAGTCGAACTGTTTGTTATAATTTTGTATAAAAGCCGACAGAAGATTGATATCGAGAGAGATTGATCGGAAAGCTCCTCTCAGGCGCACGACCGACCAGAACTCGCAATTCCTAGAGATCCTAGACATTCCGTCGACCGAAGTGGATACGCGACGTCGACATCCTCTCCGATACCGCTCTACCGACCGAAGTGGATTCGCGACGTCGGTTTCCTATCCATACACCGCTCTGTCGACCGAAGTGGATACGCGACGTCGACATCCTTTCTCCGATACCGCTCTACCGACCGAAGTGGATTCGCGACGTCGGTTTCCTATCCATACACCGCTCTGTCGACCGAAGTGGATACGCGACGTCGACATCCTTTCCCCGATACCGCTCTACCGACCGAAGTGGATACGCGACGTCGGCTTCCTATCTATACCTCGCTCCGTCGACCGAAGTGGATACGCGACGTCGGCATCCTTTTTCCTCCTCACGCTACGCCGCTAACATCTACGATCGCGAACGCATACAGGGCATAAGATAACGGCGACAACAAGCGCCTTTAAACCAGCAAGGAAAGACCAGGATA